AAATACTCACAGCATTACGCTGATGAAGCTCTGCTAATTGAATATCACCGTTAAGGACAGCTGGGAGAAAACGATCGGCTTTTTGTTTTGATTTCTATTAAGTTTTGACATCGTCGAAAAAAGACGACGTGTCAGCGCTCGCCATGTCAACAACTGAGTAGTTTTCTTCCTATTATAGAGGCTCCAAAAAAACTACAGTCAAAAATGCAGTAGTGATTTTAACGTAACGACACAAAGGCTATTCGCTACCATATTCCCGAAGGCAATAAATTCATGTAAATGAGATCAATTACATAAACGTTGATGGATGGCTGTTACTAATTCATTCTTTTATAAATAACGTCGGTATATCTCTGAGAAGAACTACAGACAAGTGACAAAGAAGTTCGAAATTTAGGAATGCCACACTTACGGAAAGTCGTCACCATGGATAGGATATAAAATAAGCGCTTGAGTTTTGGAGAAGTAATGGATGACCATTTGGGACAAATTTCTGGGAATAAAATCAGAGTAATGAGCTTCTCCGACTTCAGAAAGAACAACTATTGTCCAAGTGGCAGTTTCAGATTCATGTAATCATGCGTATTCGGCTCGGTCGTTTTCATGGCTTCCTAATTACAACTGACACTTGAACGTCAATGGACGAGAATGCAGGTGTTCTCATACGAAATCATAAAGGCATGATGAGCAGATGCATTTATGGTTTATGATGAGCTAAAATTAATCAACTGCGCTCGTCAGGCATAAGAAACATCTGAAGCAAAAAACCATGGATCACAGGAAATCCGATGGCACTCGCTGAAGAACAAAGGTTATCGTGTGAAACCAGTCACTCATATACACACGTACTCGCGTAAACAGTGCAATCCGTCATATGACCATTCATAAACTTGTTCTCTCACAAATAAAAAATGTCAAATGCCATTGAAGTACTTACGGAAAGTTTTTAGTATTCATTAAGAGCCATAAATTAGAGTTGCTGCCATCAAGCACTACAATGGATACCTCTGTCCATACTCTCCATAAGTGGCTTTTCTTTTGTTTATAACATTATGCAAGTACTACAAAAAAATTGCCAACATTGAAAAGCTTAGAGATTTTAGTAAAATGATCCTTTCATTTCTCGTAACCCATTTACATCAATATAACATCACATCAACAGGACACGCATTGCTAGAATAAAAAATTAAAGACGTCTAAGAAAGCGAGTGCAAAGATGACAGCAAGAGAAAAAGTCGGAGAATTTCCAGAACAACGAAGAAACACGAAACGATCATATAATCTGCCTGGGCAATCATTATTGTAAAAAAAAATATAAGAAGCTTACCTGATTGGAAAAATTGGTGAATTAATTAATTGATTGGAAAAAGGACGAATAGGCATATCTGTAGGGACTTTCTCATGAGAGTGTTAAGAGTTTTCGTATAGAATCCAATCAAAAACATCAGAAGCCAATGTCAAATAATATTTCCGATAGCGACGCTTTTTTCGCACACAAAAAGTATTCATTATGAGAGAAAGACGTGGAAAAGATTAGTCCTTGTGAAGCCGCCAAATGGTGTATACATCACTTCGCGAATGTGGGGCTGAAGCAAAACAATCTTCAAAGAAAAATTACTATGAGACATGAGTGGGATTCACAAAGATGCTACCAGTTGAATTTCCGCGCGTCAATGTGAATTGCCACCTTCCGTACTGACACAAACAAAACATCAATTAGACAACTGCGAAGTACATGGCACGTCTATTCGAGAATTGTCAAACAAATCAACAATGAGTCATGTATTCTTTATTGATCAAACCAATAGCACGATGTTGATAAAAACAGAATAATTCGGCTAACATACTGACGCCTTGTTTTCTTCGGAACCAATTATTCGCTCGATTTTGCTTTGTAGAAACATGTTTTCTGAAGAAGACGAAGAGGCCGAAACGTTGGCCGAATAAAGCGCTATTTTTACCAACCTCGTGAGATTGACTCGATAAGCAAGAAATGTAAGATTGATTGGCAATGTCCGACTCGATGGAAATCCGGTTTTAGATTTTTTTCTCCATAATGAATCATTGCTCTGATTACACCACCACTTCACATTACTTTTACTGTATCTGATCTGTATCAAAAGATTCTTTTTTCACTGTGCAGACCCCAGTGTCTCTATCATTTAGCTCGCTTTTCGTCTTATTCATGAACGTTGTAGAATACTAATTGAGCACGTCTTGTATGTCGAGGATAGCCAGGCTGAAACCTTGCGTCGGGGGTTAGTTATTGATTGCCAAAGAGTGTTGAGAAAACATCATTAGGAATATACTGGGAGATACATGACGAGAATTGGTCCAGCTTTCGTTCCAATAAAAAAAGATCGCAGTTAATCATAAGTATTCGTTCTAAATTAATAAAAAAAAAGAGAATCAGAAAACTGAGAGCACACAAGAAGTGGTTCGGCTTCGCTTCGAATGATAAACGCTCTACGGTTGGTCGCGACGACTCAGCTGATTAAGTATGAGCATATATCCTCCCTCATCGCCCACATCCACGACTAATGACGAGGTTCACGCATATAATTTTCACTAAGAAAAGAGATATTGAAGGCTTTGAAAAGGTCTTTGTCACCTCTGATTCGGCCTAAGCCTATTATGTAGTTTTGATAAAGAAGACGACAGAATGGAAGGGAATTTTTTGATCGATGCCTAGTCGAGGCAGCCGATGATTAATATGAAATTGCACTCAATACATACTGTTGTCCATCGAACATGTGTATCGATAGAAGTTCTCGATAAAAGCGCTAAAAGTATTTCATCTATTTTCACATCGTATATCGACACTACGAATGTTCACAGTATTTACCGTACTTGTAGACTAATTCGTTATAAAAACTTAACAACCGTTACCAGAAGAGTTCTCGATATATTACCAGACAATTTCACTAAAACACATGAAGAGGGGTCCGACTAAAACTAAGGAACGGTACAAAGCTTCTAATACGCATTTAGATAACCACGAAAAGCTTACCTTCTATGGCACGCATAAAAAACAGAATAAATGGATCTTGATGGTTGTAGATGTACCAAACAGATAGGTACAAAGTAAAACAAATGAGATATAAAAAATTGAAATGTGATTAAAACTGTCGTGGCAAATTTTCTGAGAAGAACAGTGTCTGAACCCAGAAACGAGTTGTTGAAGAGAGAGAAAACCCAGTCATTTGATACTACAATTTATGGAATAGTAATATAGGCCACGGAAAAAGTATTCCACAATCTACCAACAGGAATCAATAGAAACTCGTTGAAATGAGTGTCTATTGGGGAAACATTTGTGATGTGATTAGAGGAAACTGTAAAAAATTCTAGGGCAGAAAATTGGAATAACTTAGAGTTTCTAAGCGTCAGTAGTTAAACATCGATACCTCAAGATAACATTTCACATTTCACTGGGCGATGAAAAAAAGTAGATAATATAGATATAGTAGATAATACAGATAAGGTTCATCTACTTATACAGAATAAAGAATTAAAAGCGAATACGGATATATATATACATAAATCTATATATATATATCTATGAGAACATAGATAAATGCTCAACTTTGCAGGAATACGTTAAAGAAAAAGTAAAAACTCCTCGCCTGAGAAATCAACAATAACAAATCTAAAACTGGCAAAAAAAAAATAAATAAGGGCTCAAAACTAAGTATCGGACATTCATTCTTGACCCGTGCACGCGGCAGTATGATCGATATCGCCTTATTCAACCAAGATTTTTCTTGTACTAGAAAATACGTTAGATTCCTTGCACCTTCTGATGGAACATGATTTCCTCTACGTTTGTATAGTTTTTAAGCATATAAAATTTCTATATGCGAAGCAAACCTCCAAATGTGAAACCGTTATATTAGTTTTGCTCTCATCCTGTGTCCTATGAAAACCTTTTCGGAAACCAGTTTAGGCTTAAATTGGCCGAGATTTGGGCTATCGAATATTGCGATAAAAAGTGACCCACACACTTTAGCTGAGCAAATAAGGAAAATCGAGTGTGAAATACAAATTTATTTTTGCTGCTACAGCGTGCTACAAAGGCCTTTCGAAAATGAAGTAAAGTGTCGCAATTTTTATGATTTAAGCTCTCGATTGAATAATTAGATTTCTATAAGAGGCCCTTCCCAGCAAAAAAAGGCTCTGAAGTTTTGAGAGTCAAAAAGACGCCTATCGTCTGCAAAAGGATAAGCACAAGTCCTACACAGTCTATATCCGTTCAAATTTCCTTCTGTAGATATTTCGGACGGAAAGTTAACAGGAATTTATTGAACAACCATCAAAAGTTTCGAGGGAGAACGGTTCCGAAGTTGAGATGAATCATTTTTGCCAAATGATTCCAACTTATTCACGTTTCCGAGAGCAATAAGAAGGATAAAGCTCTCGGCGTTGATCAATCCCTGAGGGATGCGCCATGCATTCTACTTCAATTTTTAGCTTCGTTTTAGGTGATTGAATGCATATCTGGCCTTTACAATGACTGGCGGTGGCCTCCCGCTGAACCGAGTCAGTGCTGCTTATCCTCCCAGACAAGTCTGAGACCTGTCTGGTACCAATTTACCGACAGCGGAAGGATGGATGGCTTGGTAAGCCACGAGCGCGAGATCAAACCATTGACCTCGTGTGCGACGCAGAGCACCTCCAACTCAGCGCCACATGCGGTCTAGATTTGTTATTAGTAATGATAATTAAACGTTGCCATCAAATTGTAGACAATACCACATCTTTCCAGGCTTTGCAGCAGCCGAAAACTGCCCAGACATCGGCTATTCATTTATTGTAACAACCTCATATTATGGCTTATCAAGAGAAAAACTGTGAATTTTTAGAGCGCCGAGGTCGATAGGGAGTTGGTCTTGGGGCATCACTCCACATCTCTTGGATGCATAGTGGAGTTTTACGAAAAGAACAAAGAAAACAAAGAGAGAAAAAGAACTCCTGAAAGAACTGTAAGGGAGGCAAAAATTTGACCTCAGACGGGAGCTGAACCCGCATTTTAATCCGCACCAAGGACGCGTGCTACCGCTACGCCAGCGAGGCCACCGCTTACTCACCAGTCCTACTTCAGTGTCTTTCTCTTACAACTATCAGTGAGAAAAAAGACGAAAGAAAAAAAAAGGAAACATGAACAGAAGTAAGTGAACAGCATAAGCATAAATGACCGGCGGCAAATTTCTCACGAGTGTTTCGAGTCGTTCGGCTCGATAGATCATGAAAATTCGTAGAGACGGGGACCATGAGATCAACGTGAGGGTATATCAAATCAGCAGGGCCTAAAAAAATGATGGTCCCATTGAAAAACGGGGTTCCCGCCCACCGTGAAGCACCCCATGTCGCCGTAGAATGATGGCCGTTGGGCAATGGTCGTCGTCGAACGCTGCGCAACACGCCACGCACGGCTACCCCGCTCCAGGACCGACCTCTGAGCACTGCCCAGTGCTTGGAGCACGGTTGTCCAGAAAGAAGGTGGCCCTTGGCATCGCTCAATCTTTGAAGGATCGGTCACCATGCATTGGATTCCATTCGCAGCGTTGCTAGAGGTGACTCTGCATGTAGATCTCAATGTACCTAGTCGCCTGCGGTTGGCTTTCGATGGATTGAGTCAGTGCCACTGTCCCCTGAGAAAAGTCTAAAATCAAATTATCGTTATTCAAGACGGGATGGAAAGCCTTCTGTGCCCAGGAGGTAGCGAGATCGAACCACCGACACATATATATGCGGCGCGCACCTCTAGCCGCTGAGCCATGCGCGGTCTACCCCGTACTGTACGTAATTGATCCTTTCATAACAATACTTATCGCAATTACCGAGTGATTTCTAGAGTACTAAAATGATTCGTGATGTAGAGTGATTAGGGAGGGGGGCGGGGAGCGTGGTAGCCGAGTGGTTGTGATTCTCGCCACGGCGCGCGTGGACCCGAGCCATCGTCAACGGTTTGTTCCAGGTAGTCGATATCGACATTGAACCCGGTCATTCTGACAGATATTGGGTATCGAATGATTAAATCGAAATCTTTGTTTGACCTCTTGTAGCGGTGGTATGAGGTTATAAATATACCCAGTAATGTAGAGGTGATGTACAGAACATTTGCGTCAGCGGGACTTGAACCAGCAATTCAGCCAATCCGGGGGCACCTAGGAATTCTGTTTGATCATCTAATACCAGGTATCTGTCAGCGCGACTGGGTTCAAGGTCGATAATGACTACCTGAGCCAACGGTTGACGGCTGGTTGCTACCAGATAGATGCGTTGTAGAGTAGAAAGAGTGGTGTCCAAAGAGGCGTCGATGATGCAAGGGACAGTACACAAGCCCCAAATAGGCGAAATGTGGGCTCAAGTCCCGTCTGTCGCAAGTGTTTTGCACATTACTCTACTCAATGGGTATATATGTCACATCGCATCACCGCCATAAGCGGGGAATTTCGAAAATTCAAAACATCATACTTGTCTCTCTATAGCTTTGGCTTTGATCCATAGAGGAGTTCGTGCCTGGAATTACTATGCAGTGTCCCTTTCACATTCAAATATGCTTTAATTTGAGACTTTCGATAATCTGGGAACGAAAGTGTAACGTTTTTCGCGGAATTTCGATTTACGAATTGACAACTGAAAATATAAGCGGCACATAAGTGAACACCATTATGTTCTGTTGGACGTATTCCCACTTGTTCATTGAATTTCTTATTCGAGCCCTTGCGCGAGCAATAAATAGAAGAAATATATGACATGTGATCAGTGGGATCCAGATTTGCAGCATGCTGGAACAAAAGAGCACTTTTACCTTGCGCAGAAAAAGGATTTGTACGAAGTATTAATTTTCCTCAGTGGAGTGTAATATGTCTAATTAACCCTCTGCGGACGATTCGAGTCGCTTTCGACTCATGAGTTTTGGGAGGCTTTTTTTTTCGCTGAACACTTCATTTCTACTGATATTCCACTGAAATTCCAATAATCATTCGACAGCAAAAATCTCGGCAAATTTAACATTGTGATTAGTTCTTAAAGGCCTTCTTAGTGCGGTGTAGCAGCGAAGATAAAATTACGTTTCACACTTGGAATACTTTGTTTGCACGGTTTTGGCTTATGGTTGGCTCTTCGTTAGGTTAGACTAGTACTCAGTCGATAGCATAGATCTCGCTTATTCTAAAACTGAATTTAATTTCTGAGAAAGTTTTCATAGTGCACTGTAGGACTGAAAGAGGATTACGTTCCACATTCGGAGTTTTCTCCGCACAAAAGCGTTATGTATGCACAAGAAATATATATGAGCGTAGCAAAAATTACGTAATGTCAAAATAACGAAGAATAACAGAATAGTAGCAGGATAAAACATAAGATTTTTACAGCAATATAGAAAAATTTCTCATTAAATAACGAAAACCGCGCGCTGCTTGTTAAACGCAAGAAACTGCCTTGCGCAAGAGGTTGAAACTGAAAGTAGCTAATATTTCCACATCGTATCACTCCTATAGGTGTCACGTAGTTATCTGAATATTACAGGATGTTATTTTGACGCAAGGTTCAAAAAACTCTCATTTAATTCACGTGATTTAATATATCTATATGTCTGATAAAGCCTTTCAGAGGTCTGTTATGGCACCTTGATAGGTAGACGTACATTTCGGCGTTCTCGTACGCCTCTTCAGTACCACATGGTTTTCAGCCTCAAAAATAAGTACTGATGAAGCGTACGAGAACGCCAGAACGTACATCTACCTCTCAAAATGCCATAACAGACCTCTGAAAGGCTTTAAAAATTAGATCAGACTGTATTGAATTTTCAAAAGCAAGGTCTCAAACACAGTCGATGTTGCTATATGAAGTGTCACATAATTTATATGATGTTTTGGGTGAATACATGTGCTAATTTGATCCATTGAGGTATATACGTTGGAACGCTCCAGTACAGATGTTCAAAATGGAAAAAACTGTTTTATATTTTGAAGTCGAAAAGCAAAACTCAACTTCATTTCGCTTTCTTCTTGGATCTCTTTTGAATAATATTCATATTCGATTTATTTGAACTGAAAAAACTGAAAAAATAAAAACAAAATTTTCAATTAATTATATCATTTATTATTCTTTATTTTTCACTTTTGGTATGATAAACCACGTGCCATTGTGTTGATTTCCATTTGACTGTAACAATGACGTTAAACGTTCAACGACCGTTGTCACATGTACCAAAACCTGTACATACAGTTCGAAGTGAATATATATATATATAGCAGTATATATGATCGTGAGCGGAATAAGAAACTAATAAATGAAGTCTAAATAGCAAAAAAAGAAAGAAAAGAGCACCTATCGAGTGAATTAGTCTGTATTCTATAAAAATCGTAGCAGACAAATTAACGTCACTTTCGCCCTTTCTCCTCGTCTATCTCAAAACAAATGCTAATCTGTTCATATGCTTCAGTTGTTGTACCATCAACGGCTATGTCAAATGGGAAGTCGAGAAACCATATAAAATCTCCCATCAGTCTCAAATAAATAAAGGTCTATTGAAAACTGATCAATAGTGGCAAACATGATATCATTATCAAAAACAGCTATATAAATCATCTATAATTGAAACAAAACAGCTGACTCAAACAGACAGATGTGCATGCGATTTAACTTTCATAATAATGCGTCACTGCTTACGTAGACATGAATGGAAATTGTTTTTAACTATTCTCAAAGTGTTCTTAAAACAAGCATAAAAAATGAGCAACTTTAGAGCAAAGATCTGAAGCAATTTGTCAACCAAGGTATGAACAGCTATAAATATCAGATGTGAAATCTCTGTCATTACGAATACTAATGTACCGTAAAGTGATATTTATAAAATAAGAATTCAACTTCAAAACAAAACCATCTACTGGTGGATCATCTCAGCAAGGGAGCCACGATGTATAGAAGAGAGAACAGTATTGTGACATTAGTAAGCGAGTTCTGATAATTCATCGAAAAGAATTGAAATCCGTGGCGCGATATTCCTAGAATCGATTCTGGATTAAAACAACTATACTGCGCTCTTTCAAAACTTTTTGTTATTAATCGCATCGTTTTTATTACTTTCCAATTTCTATTTTTTGTTATTACTAGACTCATTCGTGAAACATTAGTAAAAGCTTCCAACAAAACCACAGTCTTCTAAATCATCTAAAAGAATGAGCGAAAACCACAAAGTAGAGATGAAAAGCGAATTCCAGAAAATTTTAGGATTCAATGCACTGAAGCTGCTTGAGTTCAGAAAATCAGGTATGTTATATTCACCACAGATCGTAGAATTCTCCGATACATTTCCATTGATTTCATTAACAGGAAATTATAGATATTTAGAAAATACATACTGATTGAATACTTTGTTCCTCTTAGATTTCTCTCGGAACTCATTGACGGTCAGAATAACCTAAAATAATTGTCTATTGTTTTTGACCTGTCGGCAGACTAAACAACAAAGTCAACGGTTGCGCTCATCCATCATACAAAAAGTGATAGCTGTTGTAATTTGAAGATGATGTGAATGTGAATTGATTTCTAGAACAAACACGAATAATAATCATAGAGCTCATCGGAGTCAGTGCTACCTTGTCCTGTTCCCCCTCTTTTTTTTTCGCCATTTTCATTCGCCGTTTTTATTTTGCTCCCGCTAGGAATTGCAGTGAGTTACAGATTGTCAGAGTTAGCATTTGTTAATCCGGTTTTTGTTTATGCTATAATTCTCTGCAACTCGAAAAACGAATAGAAATAGGGGAGAGAACAGCGAAACCACAATGAAAAAGAAAAGTCGTGGTACTTATACACTGACTAGTATTTTCATCCCTAAAGAAAATGTCAACGAGAACAATCATAAATAACAATGAGCTCGTAGTTAAACATCTGTAATTCAAGTGATGGATAACTCATCAAAATCTTACCACTACAGATTAAGTTCTAATCTAGCCATTTCAAAATCAAATATTTCTGACTTCACAACGTATTTCCGTCTGAATTCGTTTTGCTTTTGGATTTCTTATGGCTAGAAGAACGTGGGAATGTCTTCCATTGAACACA